CTTTAAAGTTGTCCAAATGAAGTCTTTAGCAATGCATATTACTAATGATAATACATTTTTTATATATTTACGGTAGGAAATTTACAAAATATCTTCATTAAACATGATCTTTACTTAATATCCTAAAGATTTTTGGAAAATCAATAATTTTGACCCATACAATGTATTGTTGGCTATTGCTACAAATATACCCCAGCGACTTAAGACTGCTTTTGTGCTCCAGGGTCACATATATATATTATATTATTATTAAATTATTAAGCAAATATGACTGTTTCCACAAAAAAACATCCAGCAGCATTGAAAATAATCAGAAATGTTTCTTGAGCAGCAAATTAGTATGATTTCTGAAGGATCATGGGACACTGAAGACTGGAGTAATGATGCTGAAAATTCAGATTTCAGCTAAAATATATTAAACATATATTCAAATAGATGAAAGCTGTTATATATTGTAATAATAATTACCAATATTACTTTTTAATTGTATCAATGATCAAATAAAGCTTTTGAATGGTAGTGTGCATACATGCAACAGTTGCACAAACTGTAATTACAGCGTTAAGGATGAAGTGTTTCATCTGTTCAGTGTTACTCCTGTCTCTGTTTTATGTGTGTAGTCAACTATGAATAAGCCACAGTCGGCTTGAGTAACAACCCAAGTAATCCATACAAACCAAACAAATAAGTTCAGAAATTAAGTTATGTGTAATAAAATGAAATGACACAGAGAAAAAGTATTGAGCACATGAAGAAAGGGAGGTTCAAAAAGGAATGGAAAGCCAAGACACCAGCTGAAATCTATCAGTAATTAGAAAGCAATCCTGCCCCTCGTCAGTGGAAATTAATATTAGCTGCTTCCCAACACCTACAGTACCAGGATGATGACGATGAAACAAGGGTGGACATTTCAGCAAGACAGTGATCCCAAACACAGCCAAGGAAACTCGACTGGTTTCAGAAAGAGAAAGTAAAGCTGCTAGAATGACCAGCCAATCACCTGACTTGAATCCAATAGAAAATCTATGGAAAGAACTAAAGATCAGAGTTCATAGAAGAAGCCCACAGAACCTTCAAGATTTGAAGACTGTTTGTGTGGAAGAATGGGCCAAAATCACACCTGAGCAATGCATGCCACTAGTTTCTCCAGACAGGAGGCGTCTTGAAGCTGTCATTAACAACAAAGGCTTTTGTATGAAGTATTAAATACATTTCAGTAGTTCAACACTTTTTCCCTGGGTCATTCCATTTTATTACACATAACTTTGAATGTATGGATTACTTGGGTTGTTACCGACATCTGGTGAAAATTTCAAGTCAACAGCACCTTTAGAAATATATTTATTTAGAAAAATGGTGATGTGTATATGAATACTTATTTTACCCGCTGTATGTATATATATATATACACACACATTTTATTTAATAAACATTTTATTAAACAAATATGTTTTTTAAAAAGGAAATATTAATTAAAATAAGATGTAAGGAAATGTTACTACTTTTACTACTTGCTACTTGTGACATTTTTAGTGTCATTACACTGAATTTTTTATTGAAAATGATATCATTTGATACCAACATAAACTTCTGAGAACTTGCCATATGCATTTCAAAGCCCTTTACTTTTCTTTATCATAGCCACTTATGTTCACTGACCCATATATTTTCTCAACAAACCCAGAACCCTGAACTCATGAGGTTTGACTGGAAGAGTCCGTGTAAGGTTCAGTAGTTCACAGTCACTGGTGATATGGTCTATGAACTGAACAGAAGTCATTTGTATCATCACAGCTGATTACAGAGCTTTTAGTGGCAGGTGTTTCTTTCGGCCTGTGATCTGTCATTTGCAGCTGTTGATGTTACTAGCCGCCAGTACAGCTTGCGTTAAGGATGAAGTGTTTCATCTGTTCAGTGTTACTCCTGTCTCTGTTTTATGTGTGTAGTCAACTATGAATAAGCCACAGTCGGCTTGAGCGCCTGTGACCTTGTGGTGCTTTCAGAACATTAATCTCTTTATTTGAGCAGTTTGACATGTTAGCTTCTGATTCAACCAGAAGTGTGAGTTTGGAGACGTTGCCACAGTTCTTCTGGATTGAGTCTGTCTCAGTT